TAGTTTTTGGAATTCATCAGCCTGTGAAACAGCAACCTGCCACCTTACCTGCCTATCTTGGATACAACAGCCCCTAAAGCTACATGAGTCAGGAGAAGCTTCCCCCTGACACCTAACCCACAGAACTGGGGCTTGCCAGCCACTACAGCTGTGTGAGTCATTTCTTTGAGATAAATCTCTCTCTCGATAGATAGATATAGATATATCTGGTGGTTTTGAGCCTCTGACATTGGGATTCATAACCACCTTGCAATCTAGTGCTTATACTACAGTGCCACACCAGGACCCCTACGAACTCACCATCTGCTCCTTGGAAACCCTATTCAGGGTCTCTATGAGTTGGAACTGACTAGACAGCAGTTGACAACAACAACTATAGGAAGATAGATAGACAGACATACATGTTGTTGTTTTATGCTGTCCAGTCAGTTCTGACTCATAGAGACCCTGTATAGGATTTCTGAGGAACAACTAGTGTGTTTGAACCACCAACCTGGTAGTTAGCCTTGGTTTTGCTGCTAGAGAATCCAGCTTCAGATACCCAGGTAAGAGGTAATGGTGGTTTGAGACAGGCTACAAGCAAGGAAAGTAATAAAAGGTAAGATAATCAAGATGCATGATAATTACTGGTGATTGGACTGCAAAGAGGAAGGACCAGCAGGTAGAAAATATGGCCTTGGTGATAGAAACGATGCTGGAGATCACTGATAAAATTTTGCATGACAACGACTTCTTCATTGCAAATACCTTTTGAAAACAACATAAAAGGTGACTATACACATGGACATCAGCAAATGGAAAACACAAGAAATCAAATTGACTACATCTGTAGGAAGAGATGGTGGAAAACTTCAATAACATCAGTCAAAACAAGGCCAGGAGCAGATTGTAGCATAGACCAACAATTGATTATATACATGTTCAAGCTGAAGCTGAAGATACAAGTCCATTGAGAGCCAAAATACAACCCTGAACATATCTTACCTGAATATAGAGACTTGTGGAATGACATCAAGAATATCACACAGGACGAAAGCAAAAGGCCATTAAAAAGACATGAATGATAAGAAAAAACAAAAATGGGTATCAGAAAAGACTCTGAAACTTGATCTTGAAATAAAGCAACTAGCAGAAATGATGACACAAAAGAACTGAAGAGAAAATTTCAAAGGGCAACTTGAGAACACAAAGTCAACTCAACTATAATGAAATGTGCATAGGCCTGAAGTTAGAAAACCAAAAGGGAGGAACACACTCATTTCTCAAGCTGAAAGAATTGAAATATTGAAGGATTCTATGGGTAAAATATTAAATGATGAAGAAAGCATCAAAATAAGACAAAGTTATATAGTAACTATACCATAAAGAAATGGTCAACAGTCAACCATTTTAAAAGGTAATATGATTTAAAAAAAACCCCATGGTACTGAAGGAAGAAGTACAAGTTACACTGAAGGCACGGGTGAAAAATAAAGCTCCAAAAACTGATGAAATACAAACAGAAATCTTTCAACAAAATGATGTAGCACTGGAGGCACTCAACTCATCTACACCAAGAAATTACCAATGTGCCCATTTCAAAGAGAGGTGACCCAAGAGAATGTAGAAATCATTGAACAATATCATTAATATCATATGCAAGTAAAATTTTGCTGACATTAATTCAAAAACAGCAGCACCAGTACATCGACAGGGAACTGCCAGAGACCCGAGCCGGATTCAGATGAAGTTGTGGAATCAGTGCTGACGTCAGACGGATCTTAACTAAAAACAGAGAATAACAGAAAGATGTTTGCCTGTGCTTTATTAACTATGCAAAGGCTTTTGACTGTGTGGGTCATGACAAACTATGGATAACATTGCAATGAATGGGTATTCCACAACACTTAATTGTGCTCTTGAGAGACCTGTATATAAATCTTGGAGGCAGCTATTCAAACAGACCAAGGGGTTAGTGAATGGTTTAAGGTCAGGAAAGGTGTATGCCAGGGTGTGTATCCTTTCGCCATACTTATTCAATCTGTAAACTGAACAGATAATCTGAGAAACTGGATTATATGAAGAATGTGGCATCAGAATTGGAGGAAGACTCATTAACAACCTGTGATATACAGATGATACAACCTTGTTTGCTGAAGCCAAAGAAGGCTTAAAATACTTACTGATGAAGATCAAAGACAGCCTTCAGTATTAGTTGCACTTCAACATAAAGAAAGCAAAAATCTTCACAACTGGACCAATAAATAACATGATAAACAGAGAAAAGAATGAAGTTGTCAAGGACAACTTCCTAATGCTCATGGAAGCTGCAGTCAAGAAATCCAACATCATATTGCATTTACGCCAATTCACTGCATAAGATCTTTTCAAAGTGTTCAAGAGCAAAGCTATCAGTTTGAGGACTAAGCAGCGCCTGACCCTTGCCATGGTATTTTTAGTAGCCTCATATGCATGTGAAAGTTGGACAGTGAATAAGGAAGACCACAGAAGAACTGATGCATTTCAGGTATGGTATTGGAGAAGAATATTAAAACTACTGTAGGCTAACAGAAGTACAAATACATCTGTGTTGGAAAAAGCACAGCCAGAATGTTCTTGAAAACCAAGATGGCGAGACTTCATCTTTCATACTTTGGACATGTTATTAGGAGGGACAAGTCCCTGGAAAAGGACATTACGCTTGGTAACGTAAAGGGCCAGGGAAAAACAGGAAGTCCCTCAACAAGATGCACTGCTACAGTGGCAGCAGTAATGGACTCCAATGTAACAACTGTTAGGCTGGCTTAGGTCTGGGCAGTGTTCATTCTGTGTGCAAAGGGTCTCTATGACTCAGAACTGATTTGACAGCACTTACCAGCAGCAATAACACAAAATACAGACAAGATTTGCTGATGGAGTGGATGAAGGATATAACATAGTAGCATTAAAGCGTATTTGTTAAACTACTTGTATGAGTTTTCCCACTACTAAAATCCAGGAGATATCGTTAAGTTAAAGTCTACAACAATGTGTTAACTTGTACTCTAGCTCCCTGGACCCCTTTACAGCTCTTACCATCTTTTACTGATTTTGTGGCAATCACCCCACAGTCAATAACTCGCACATCTGCATAAGGCCGGCTTGCAGCATCAGTCTTCAGATTTTCAATTTGTTCGATTACTTCAAAACCAGAAATAACTAGTCCAAAGACAACATGCACCCTGCCAAAATAGAAATGAAAAAGAATTTGTGTTTGGACTTAAGAAAAGAAAGAAAATTAGTTTGATAATAATTGTAGTTGTTAAGTGCCGTAGAGTCAGTTCTGACTCATAGCGGCCCTTAGAGGGTTTCCAAGGAGCAGCTGTTAAGTTTGAACCACCAATCTTGAGGTTCAAACTGGCCTTCTAGTTCAGCATTCATCCTACAGCATCAGACCAGGACTCCAATAATTAGGCTATAAATAATAATCAAGACAATTACTATAAATGGCATGTCCAGAGATGTGAAAACAAAACGTTAAGTGTTTCATGTATGCTGCAACAAGAAGGGAATTAGAACTTGGAATGTATGGGCCAGGTTAAAGAACCCAACCATGACATGAGAGTCATGGAGTCTCTAGACTACTGCACTCTGTGATCCTCAAGGAAGAACCTGGCTCTAATACAGAGATCAAAAGTACTTCCTTTTGAAGGACTATCAATAGTTTACTCTGTTTCTGTTTTATGTGTGGTCCACCCAAACACAATTCCAAAGTAGCAAACATGGAATTCTTACCCATCCAGGTGTGGTGCAGGTTTTGTGGTACTGTGCAATAAACATCAACACAAGAAGATGGCAAAAACCAGGTGTTCAGGCGAAGAGAGCAGAAGGGTTTAAAGCATGAAGAGAACAAAGAGGTAAAGACAAAAAAGGGGAAACGTTAAACACAATATACACCAAACCTTAAAAACAGTAACAGAAGCCATTTTACTGATAAAAAACATGATATTATAATAAATTACAGAACCAGATCTATTTCTCCAATGTCATGAAAACTATACACACATATATGCAACAGGTTTGATATGACTATGGCTATAAAAATACATTAAAATTAAAGTTACTCTCCAATCCAAACTAACAAGAAAAATCCAAAACCAAATTAAAACTCTCAACCTTTATTAAGATAATAAGCAAAAAATAAAAAGCACTTATCATTTGTCCTACGCGAAGAAATGTGATTGCCACTTGCCCAAAAGACTTAAGTGAGTTTTTCTATTTTTCATGTCTCATACTGAGCCAGTCTAAAGGCAGGAAGGAGCTAGGCCTGAGGATTCCTGTTTTCAGAACTTCCTGCCCCTTTCCCCAAGGTGAACTCTGAAGCCGTTCTACTGATAAAAAACATGAGATTATAATAAAATCTCACAGCAACTCTGAAAATGTGACAAGGGAAAAGAAGCGCTTCAATGTGCAACACTTCTGATAGCAAAGTAAGCAATGATGGATACTATGGTGGTGGTGGCTGTGTGCCGTGGAGTCGGTTCCCACTCATAGCAACCCTGTATAGGGTTTCCTAGGCTGTAAATCTTTATAGGAGCACAAAGCCTCATCTTGTCCCTGCGGAACACTGGGTAGTTTCAAACTGCTGACTTTGAGGTTGGCAGCCCGACTCGTAATCACTACACTACTACGGCTCAGAAAATATCCAGCTGGCTACTTCTGCAGCTACAGACTGCCAGACAGTTGCTCTGGGAAAGCCGACAGGATACATTTAAATTCCAGTTGGTTTTCTCATAGCATTTTCATAAATCTTCACACTGCATGAATGCAGTGGAAGAAATTCAAAATAGATAACTAGACTTGATTATACACTGAAAGCAGTTCAATTAAGAATGGAAAATAGACATTTGAGACAAAAAAAAGGTCCTTGAATATCAGGCCATATCATAATGGTCCATGCTATAAGTTCCCATATAAATTTTGATACTCAATTCTAAGAGATACAAGTCAGTAAAACACAATTTTAAAATTCAGAACAATACGATGATAATTATTCTGAAAGTAACTGTTATGCTCCTACTTACATTAAGAGTATTCAGTTCTGAAAGAGCACTACAAAATTTAAGATTTAAAAATTAAAATGTCAACTTAAGATATTCCAGAATTTCAAGGGAAATTGTGTTTTAAAACCACAAATCTAAAATTTTTCTTAAGGACACTGAGGGATGAAAATCCAAGCCAATGTACTTATAAAAATGAATAAGAAAAGAAAAGAAAAAACATTAAGGAAAATCTAGCAAACTGGTGAACTACCAAAGCTTAATTAAACTAGCATCCAGAAAGTACCTTGAACAATAAGTAACTTTTAGATAAGAATGTGCTTACCATAACTATAAAACTTTATCAAATCACACTATAAAGATATGAAGAAACTAGTATATAAGCTAGACACTGGTTTCATTAGATGTAAAGAGTGCTTTAAAAAGGTAAAATGTTCTACAATGTAAGGATGCATCTCAAGTACGCTGCAGTGAAACGATGAATGATTCGATATATGCTGATTAGATATATTCCCCCTCCTTCCCTTAGTTTTTCTCTCACAACCTTCCCAGATCTTCTGATATTTGAGAAAACCTTACAGTTTTCTAAACTACACAGACCCCAACTCAATTTGCTCTTCTAGCTAACTGCCGCGAAATCATTTCATGGCAAACCTTTGGACATTGCAAACCACTGAAGCAAATGGTGAGATAAAACATTCTAGAGATGGTAGCAATGAAACAACACAATATTTTAGACTCAATATGAGGATGGGACAGCTACCTTTATGACAGATTCAAGTGTGGTTTTCAATTCAAACAAAAACTGAAGAACAAACAAACTCAGTCCGACAATAATTAGGAAAATTAATCTAAGAGCAACCCTTTCTTTCAAAGACAACTTACATAGCTGGCCCTTTGTGTCTACACTGAGGGAAATAATTAAGCCCATTACTTACATCTGCAATTTAGGATGCATAAATGAAATTTTGTATTTTAACTGGTTAGACAGATATTAAGAATACTGAATGAAAGTACCTTAATAAAAAAAGAAGCCCTCTAGGGTTGTCTGCCTATGTTCCAGAAGTAGATAGCCCAATGTAAAGCAAGCTGATTGGCACTGGCCGACATCAGGTGTGGATAAATAGAGGACATTTACCAAATAGAGTCAAAATAAAAAGGTGTGGGAGGGGATATGCTCAGAGTCCAAGCTATACAATTCTACAACAATGGGCAAAGAGATCCCATCCCATCAACTCTGAATTGTGTTACACTTTAAAAACTATATAGGTGTTTAAACCAGTGCAGTCCTGACAGACACTCAGTAAGTTTACACATGCTTATGACAGTGTGCCTAATGGATATATAACCACAAAGAATATTTCAAATTAAAACAACCTTACAATATTTACACATTTCATTTCTCCTGTCTTTACAAAAACTGGATTTCCAGTTTCATCCACCCCTGAATATACTATATAAATATATATGCAAGGGGTTATTTACAAAGAAGCTTTTGATCATATACAGAAATTAATAGTTCTGCACTAAAATAAACTCTAGAACCATTACATAAATGATAACCCCACCCCACACCAGATGATGTGTAGAAACAAACTTGGTGAAACAAGCCACTGAAATGAAACTATGCTTCCCAGAATTAATATCATGAATAATAAAACACACTTGTTTTACATGTATTGCTGCCATACAGATCAAGCAGAAAGTACGTTTTTTCCCTTAAAATGATGCAATGCATATAACAATAGATTAAAGATACAGACAAAGAAAGAAAAAAAGAGAGAGCCTTAGAGTAATGAGACATTACCTTTGGAGCGCACGGTGTAACACTCTTTCTGTAAATTTTACACAAAAATGGCAAGAAATAAATTGTAATACACTTTTAAGACAAGACTGAATCTATGTTTTAATATCAATATAACTTTGAAATTAAAGACTTCCAAGTTCTATGTAAAGCAAGAAAGCTTTTTAAAATGGAGGGCTCTAAATTTTCTTTCCTATAGGACACATATGTAGAGACGAATTATGCTTAAGTAAAGCATTGTGGCTAAAATGGAATCTGCTCAGATTCTTAATATTTTAGCATTAGAATGTCAATAAAACTACCAACAAAACATTACATTTCCTTTTACAAATACCAAATATTATCTATGACAATTAATATCTTCATAAGAGAATCGTGTATCCTGAATACACCCTAAATTATAAAAATCAGAATGCCCAGGAGCAGTTACTACCAGTTGAAAGCAAAAATTTCAACACAAAACGTGGAGCTGAAGTTCAAAACTGATATAAAATTCTAGGGAACATTTTACTAATCTACTTCAAATAGTTAAAGAATCTTTTATGTTTCTACACTTGCTTTGGCCAAATATCTCAATGGGCCGCTATCAGGGTAACAAGCAAATGGCTAGAATGTAGTTACTACTCACTGCCATTAAATATGGTTTGTAGTTAAGTCACTGATATAATTATAATGTTACATCACTAAAAATAACAAAGCTGCATAACTAAAATTTTAGAGATTGTCTCAGAGAATAAAAAGGCAAAAGAGATGAAAGTAGAAGAGTGTGCTATCAAATCTCAGCCACAGAATTTTTTCCCCTGTATCCTTTCTGATTTTCCCCATTATAAAAAATACTTTTTTCAAAGAATACAGGCGGTCTGATCAATTTTAATTATGTTAGACCTTAAACATATCTTTTACTACTAAGATGTTGTTAAGTACACTGAGTGAGGTCTGACTCATAGCAAACCTGTATAGGGTTTCTGAGGCTGTTAAATCTTCCGGGGAGCAGAAAACCTCATCTTTCTCCCATGGAGTGACTAATGGTTCACAGTCTTTATCCTACAGAGCTTTATTCTTTTCTGGGGAAGGGAGGCATTTTCTCACATAATCAGAATTTTTATCACCATTTTTAATAGCTACTACATGTTGTTCCATCAAACTGATATGGTACAATTTACTTAAGTTATCTAATGCAGGCCTTTGAAATTATTTCTAATTTCTCATTCTTTTTTTTTTTTTAAATTTCTCTCATTCTTTGAATTGTTTTTCCTTGTGCCAATAACCTCAAAATGATTGGACTCACCCAGGTACAAAACCATACAAAGCAGTATTAGACAGTAAACAAAATTCTTCGTTTTAAATCTTGAAATATCTTAAAATAAGTTTCAGTTTTGAAATGTGGATTACTATTAAAAGGATTAAAATGTTTCAAGTAATTTGGAACTTTCAATAAATGCTATAAAAATATGTGACTCTAGGTGTGGCACTATACGATAGGATACATGACGGCACTTAACTGACTGCTGACCACAATTAAGTGCCATCAAGTCGGCTCCAACTCAGCGACTCTGCCATTGGGTTTCCAAGGAAAAGCTAGCAGGTTGAATTGCCAACCTTGCATTTAGCAAGCAGTCCAGTGCTTATCCTACAGTGCCACATAGAAGAAGGAAATACTATTTCTAATCTAGCCTTTAATGTACATTTCCCCTCTTAAACTTCTGAAACTATCACATACTATCATGGAAGAGGTAACTGTACAGAACAAGAGCAATGGGAACTAACCAAACCACTTTACAATTCTCTACCTATGTGTTCCAAAGACACCCAAATAGAAGAGCTTTCTAAAATTCAACACTAAGTTAAATGTAATACACAACAAACACTACTTACTAGGTACAAAATTTCTTTCAGATTAACTAACATATATGTCACACAAACACTAAATAGTAAAACTGGATGTTAGAGATGACACTTGATATAACAGAACTCGGCTTATGGTGAAGTTTTATGAATATCTGCCTTCACAAAAAATCTTGAAAATTAATATATGAAGATACTTTCCCCACAAAAACAACAGTGTTAGAACTTTTCAGGTTATTAAAACTTAGTAGTATTTTTTCTCATACAAAGTCATAAACAGGTGGAAGGCAAAAGCATCCAACTCTACCCACATCTACTTTTGCTACCCAAAACACCAATGTAACTTTGCAGATGTCTTAAAAACAAACTTCCCCTCAGTTCTTACTCTCCTACTCTGAAATGATCAGTAATCCCTCTCACCCAAGAGAGTGTCCACATATAAGTCAGATTCTTAAGTGTTACAGACCTTATTCTAGAACTTCTTACCCTCCTATAGTCTTATGACTTCAAAAAAATATAATAAACACTTGTTTGATTTCTATGTATTATCTTGTTTTTTCGTATGTTTTTATAATTATAATTATTAAGACCAATGACACTGGCCAACCAAAGTTCTGTAGCTTCTCTCTCTACCCCCTGATTTAATACAGGGTCTGACTAAGAGGCAAAGCAGAACTAGCTACAACACAAATACTGAGAAGATAACGTTCTAACAACAGCTAATAGACTGCTGCTGCCTGGATTTAGGCAAGATGAAACTGACATATCTTTGTAGCCCTTTCAGGTATATAAAAATCATACAATTAATACTGTTTTAGTTAAGACAATGTTTGTACAAAAATTGTTCCACATACCTAGAAATAAATAGGATCACCCTACCAAAAACAACTTTCTTCCTTTTAAGTATAAAAATATTTAATTTGAAAGTGGGGATAACCAAATCAAATCGAACTCAACCCAATGGTGTCAAGTTGATTCTAACCCGCTGGCACTCTGTGGGGCAGAAGAGAACTGCCAAACAGGGTTTCTAAGGCTGTATTCTTTAGGGAAGCAGAGGGCCACATCTTTCTCCACCAGAGCAGCTGGTGCAGCCAGGCATGTAACAAGTGTGTCACAAGGGCTCTTGAAGTGGGGAAAGGTACCTTATAAACAGAAAAAGGATGCAAAGACTGACCTAAGTACATCGGGGAAAAAAATAAGGCTTCCTGACAGCTAATCCTAGCCCTAAGAACAGTTAGTACAAAGCTATCTACCTCATTATTTCAATGTCTATTTTAATATCTTGTTTATCTTTTGATGCCTGTAAAGACAATAAAAATTAGATCCAGAATTAATACACTATTACCAACAGTCAAAAAAAAAGTCTTCCCCCTAGTGTCCTTTCTGTAGTACTGGATGTTTATAATACTTAACTAAAATAAATGCAGAGCATGTGTTGTGTGTTGTACATCATTCGCTCTTAAGCTATCAATTCTTCTAGTACAATTTCTATATTTGGACTTTACACAGTTTAGAGAACAAAACAAAAAAAAGTAGATTAGATGATTTCATAATCCCTTTCTGTTCTATGACTTTATAATTCTATAGATTTCACTGTGGTTTCTTCTTAGACATAGACCTAAAAGTAAAAATTGAAAGGATCAAATGACTAAACACTGAGTTACCAGGGTAACTTTGGTCCTAGGGCTTTAAATTCCTTTAAAATCACCTCAATATAAACAAACCAGTGATCCATGGGGACAGTACCATGTATCTCTTCTAGCATGCTTCATGAAAAGTAGTATTTTTAAAAAGAATCAGTTTTCTTCCCCCAAACAAAATCATTGATAAATACAGCATTAGATATAAGCAGCTGTTGTAGTAATTACAAAGAGCTTTATAGAAGGAAATCTGAATTTCATTATATGCATAATTATTCCAGCAACAGGAAGCAATATATACATATATAGATAATTTTATGCTTAATAAAAATGATGTTTGCTTTAGAAAGGGAGGCTTTAACTGTGTAAATAATAAAGACAATAGTTAATGCACAAAGCACAAGAATTCTTGAGTGGTATTTCACAGTATCTCACACTAAAAACATTGAATTCATTCCTTATGTGCAGAACAACAAATGTGTAGCATTAAATACAATTTTTCAAGGAAATATTGAAGTCCTTGTTAAAACGGCACTATAAAGGCAGCTCTTGGCATTGTCCACCCATTCTTACTTAGTGTACTTTGTCAGATCCCAGAACTGCTGCTGCTCAAGGTACCATACAAAGAGTGCTAACAAGGTAAAAGGCAGGCAAGCACTCAGATGACCTCAGAACCGCAACACTGAACACCACTCTCTGTGATTACAGACAAAACTTGAAGACAAGACAGTAGACCTTTTACTACTTCTAACTCCACAAGGATTTAGACTTTGTGTAAAACAAAGAGATTCACAGAGTTTTCTTTAATGGGATACCATAATCCATTTTACCTATCCTTTCTGGAAAGCAAGGAAATGTTTTGTTTAGAAACATAAACATGAGTTTAATTCTATCTTGTGACTTAAAGGAACTGGTACTTTCAGCCAGCATAATGACAGCAAATGGGCATAAAAGAGTACTTGGGAAAAAAAAAAAAAAAAAATCAAGATTTTTCAGTGTGTACAAAAATACTCAATTGCTTTCAAGATTGCCTTTAATTGCAAACTCTTTTCTTCAATCACAAGTTCATAGTGATTTTAGTGCCATCTACACTTAATTATAAAACCAAGTTTAAAAATTTTAATCCTAATTTATAGACATCAAAACTTTTGATTTGATAGCAATCCAATGTAAAATTATACCATGGAGAAACAGCAATGGCCTTAATTTTTTTGCTACCAAACAGTCCTAGAAAAGACTTAAGTACTAAGTAACATAAATACTATATATTTTTTGATGAATCTCACACATTATAGTTAATGCATGTAGATACACTAGTTTTATCTCTAACATTTTAAAAACAAGCTAATCTCTATATAATATTGACACGTTACATATGTGCTGTAAGTAACACTAACGGTTACATGGTCAATCAAATTTTAAATATATTTATGTAAAAAAGGAAATCTAAAAGAAACTTTAGAGCCCTCAGATAGTAGCTTCTTGACCAATGAATCATTATTTTATCATGTTCATAGTTCAGATAAGCTTAAAAATGGAAATGGGAAAGCTTAAAGAATAAACAGCTCCTACATTAGTTACTATAGAAGAAGTCTTCAAATACATTTTGCTCGTATTATTTTTGGCCTTTAACCAGTTTAAGAATAGAAAACTACCCTACTAAAGAAGTGTAATAACCAAGTCCTTTATGGGAGCCACATTAAGATATAGGACCAATTGTTTTGGGTCTTCCTTTTTTCTGTATAACTCTAAACATCATCATGTTCTATCAGGTTTTCCATTTTTAGGACATTCTCAGGAAAGGAATGCCCCTTATCTGAACTTTATCAGATCAGGTAGGAAATACATTTTTCACACAAATTAAAACTATGAAGTTTTAAAATAAACACTTATGAACAATTTACTCCTTTTTAAGACAGGGAAGCGCCATTCATACTCATCCACTCAGAAAGATGACAAAGAAAACTTTTTTCTGAAATAAGCTGTGAATAAAATATGTGTCCAACATATATAAAACAGCTATAGAGATTTACAGCCAATTAAAGCATTAAGTATCATGTTGGACAACAATCTTTCACATTTTATATTATGAGACTATGCGAAACTAAGTTTTTGAGTACCCTTAGACAAGAATAGAACTTAAAGTATGCCATAAGTCTTGTTCAGAATCTTCAGATAAAAAAAGTGTTCTAGGTGCATGTTTGTGTAAAGGAGTTTACCTTTAAAAAATAAGTTTAGCATTTTGAAGCTTCCTAAGTGATAACCTCATTATAAACTCCAGTGGAAATCAGAGTAACAATGAGTTAAGTCAATTATGCACAGTGACTTGAGAGTTCGGCGTTTTTTTAAACAATGCTAGCTTACCAGCAAATCACACATCTCTAGTATTGGTAAATTGTAGCCCCAAATTTGGTTAAGAGTTAAGGCCAATTTCCTAAGATGATAATATATTTATAAAATAATGTATTCCTTCAAGTTATATTTTTAAGTTCCAATCTTCAACTGCTGATGCCACTCTGATACAGCTTACTACTTATTTTAAAATTAAAAATTAATAATAAAATCCAAGTTGGCATTCTAGCATTAAACTTGGCTTAACTATACCATCTTTCTCATGAACAGCACTTCTCTGTTTAAGAAAAGCTCATCTCTCAATTACGCCTACTCACATGAAAAACTGGGAACCATTGGTATGTTTCCCTCGATTTGCCATTGATAAAAGGAATGCTCTGTCATGTTTGAGAATAAAGTTTTCATCTGTTTGAAGAAAAAACAAATTCGTCAGTCTCCAATTATAAGCCACGTTTAAAGAGTAATGTTCACAGTAATAAACAGAAAGCAAAGGATGAAATTCTTCTTCTGGCCAGTACAGATACTTGACTGAATACTTAGAAAAAAATCAAACTAATCAAATCACAAAAGCATGAAAGGACCAAGAAATACTAAATTAAAGCCTTGAGAAAAAGAACATATATTTAATACTTTATACAAACAGCCTTAGAACAGTCACTTTTAGTAGTAACATACTTTAGTTAACTTAATCTATTAACTTTAGGGTAGAACTAAGAAAGACATTTTAGAAAAATCTCTATAGTAAATCTCATTGCCTCCAAATTTCCAATGATCCTGCCTAATGTACTGGAGAGGTTTACTAATCCTCTTATGTGTCTAATATGAAAAAGTCACTGCTCAACTGCTGGGAAGCTTAGACAATGAGAGCTAAAAATGACATAAGTTTAGTTGTAAGGTCATGCCTAAAATAAAATAAGTTTGTGGAGTCCTTCAAATGAACAGGATAACAAAATTAAATACATAGACAGTCCGGTAAGAACAAAAATTTCAATGGCAAATATAATTTTAAGATACACAGATATCTGCCAGAGGGAACAGTCAAATTAAAGTGGCCTGCAGCAGTAGCCTCAAATGGCTACATGCTAAAGGAATCAACTAAACAGCTGTTTCCTACTAGTACCAGAAAAAAAAAATCTGTCTTAAAGATTAAGTAGGAGAAATGCCTTGAAAACGAAATTTACATTTCCTTTTAATAGTCATACAAACAAATCTTCCTTCAGCTCAAACAGAAACATAAAAACTCTTAAAAATAATTACCTTGGGAACAGGCTTCTGAAAAAGAGTAGTAATCCATTTTTCCCCAAAAGAAATATAAAAGACTATTATAACACTGAAACTAGTATAGTGTTAAAATACAGTAATGTTGGACCCCACTATAAATCTCTGCAACTGACTTTTCTAAGGCTTTTTGGGGCAAGTGCAATAGTTAAGATTTATGCAAATGCTACTACTGTAGGAGTAAAAGACAATCATATACTTCTAGTATACAAAAGAAAATATACAAACCTTTGAGAAAAGAGGAAATACCAACTTTTATTAAAACAAGTTGCTCGTTTAGGGAAAAAAAAAAAAGAACAAAAAAACACAACTACATTCTTTTCCCTGATGTGGAACTAACAACCCATTGGGAAAAGAAAAAGAGACAGATGCATGTATGAAATAATATACAGAATTTCCAAGTCTTCAAGCAATATAGAAATCCAGTCACAACTTGACCAAGGCTGTCCATAGTTTATTAGGAAGGGTGCAAGGGAACAGAATTGGAATTTGTGTTACTGAGCTTTGTTCTCTTACCTTTTCATTTTGCAAAAGACCACATTCTCTATAAACAAAAGAATATGTTGACAGTTTTAGGCAGGAAGATAGGAGTTTTCATGTATATAGTTGCCTAACCTCCATGCTGAAAGTCATGTTTAACCATAAAGTTAGCCTTAATTAATCTTGTCAATTAAAAGCTATATATTATATAATTTATCCCCAAATTCATGCAATAAAGTATTTTCATGCAGCATTAGTTTCATGCAAAAGTGAACTATAAGTAAACCTCTTCTCATTAAAAGTACATGATCAAACTTGTTTTATATCAGAATTGAAACAAAAGACCATAAAGTATTAACCTTACCTTTAAAATATCCGCCATAAATTGACTCTCCACCTTTTCCATTACCTGAAAATAATGAGCTATTAAGCTACAGTGAAAATTTTAAATATACTTAATACTACACATAAATTAAGGAGCTCTGGTAGCGTAGTGGTTACGAATCGGGCTGCGAACCTTAAGGTCAGTGGTTCGAAACTACCAGCCGCTCCGCGGGAGAAAGATGAGGCTTTCTACTCCCGTAAGGATTTACACCCTCGGAAACCCTGTACAGGGTCGCTATGGGTCGGCTCCGACTCGAAGGCACTTAACAACAACAACAACAACACATAAATTAATTTTTAGGGTTTAAATTTGCTGAAGGAACTAACACCCTGCAATTACTGCAAATAACTGAAATTTAAAGACTGTTCAATTAAAATGAGTCAAGTTCTACCAAAAAACGATATCTGCAACCCACTTATTTCAAACGTAGTAATGTCAACAAAATTCCAAAACAACTAAAAGAATTGAGTAGTACTTTGGAGCATATTACCAGGAAATTTAATAAATAGTATTATTAAAACAAATGATACAAAAGCAAAATAAAATGTCTTAGTATTTTGCTTTTTCATATATTCTTGGTCTAAAATACTGATTCAACTGATAATTCACTCACCACCTAATATTTACACTGTACTCTGAGTGATACCATATTTACAATGAAAAGTCACAATGAGATACCCTAGAAACAGATAGATGGGGTATTAGGAACGTAACTTTTAGCTCTACCTTCACTGAAGTCCCCACCCTGAATCATAAAGTTTTTAACCACACGATGGAACGTAGAACCTTTATAACATAACTTCTTCCCAGTTGTTTTCCCAAGGCCTTTTTCCCCTGCAAAAAAAGAAATGAAGTTCAGATACAAACACATTCTCCCACATAAAGAACCAACTAATTAACCTTTGTCAAATTCCTCCTGTGTGCTACACATTGTAAGAGATACAAGAAGTAGAAAGAGTGACAAATAACACACATACACACAAACTACAATAAATACTACAAACCAGGGAATGAATGTTAAATTGTATGGTATAGACTTCAAATGACAAAGGAGACCAAGAAAGGTTAAAAAATCAACCAAACAATGTATTGAAGAGTCCATTCCTACTCACAGAGCCCCTATAGGACAAAGAACTGCCTCATACGGTTTCCAAGGCTGCAATCTTAACAAAAGCAGACTGCCACATCTTTTTCCCATAAAGTGGCTGGCTGGTAGGTTTGAACTGCTGACCTTTCAAATCTAGTAGTTGAGCATTTAATCACTGTGCCACAGGGGCTCCTCAATAAAGATTATAAATGCTTATAAAAAAAATCAAACAATGATTATTAAGATGTGTCTGTGTACATCTAAACATAAATTATTTTAAAATTAAATTGCTATTTCAATTTCAAAATTAATATTACAGATGTTTTCTCCTTCCCCCACCCACATATTTAAAAGAATCAAATTACATATAACCAAGAACAGCTTTTCTGCCTCTTAACTTTAAATTTCTTGTGAAATCTAGAATGTTGAATTTGTTCATAATACTGCAATATGTAAAATTCTGCAAAGCCAACCATTGTTTACTATGTTATTATATAAACTACAATAAGCACTGGACTGCAAACGACAAAGTCTGTGGTTCAAACCCGCCAACCGCTCGCTCGCTCCATGGGAGACAGATGAGGCTTTCTACTTCTGCAAAGATTTAAAAGCCTAAGAAGCCCTATAAAGGGTTGCTATGAGTTGGAACTGACTTTGATGGCACTTAACAACATCAACAATTATATAAACTATGATCCTGATGTACTGCTGTTGGGTAAGCACTGGACTGCTAACTTCAAGTTCAGTGGTTCAAACTCACCAGCTACTCCTTGGAAACCTTATCCCAGGTCGCTATGAATCAGAACTAACTCAACAGCACTAAACAACAACAAAGATCAGAACTGTGAATAAAACAGAATACTTAATTGTGCAGAAACCGTATAGGGATCAGAACAGGTGATGCTGTGTGGTTTAAAATTAGAAAAGGTATACAACAAGGTTGTATTCAGTCACCTTACTTAATGCGTACGCTGAACAAATAATTAAGTCAAGAAGTTGGACTATCCACTCTGAAAGGGATCACAAAAGGAGATCCTAGATAGAGTGGGAGAAAAAAGTGGAACAAAATTCACGATCATAAAGACCAGGCTTACTGGTCAGATAGAGACTAGTGAAGCCTGGGAACCATGTCCCTTAGATACCCTTCAGGTCTGGAACTGAACTCACCCCAAAGCTCAACCTTCAGTCAACAGACAGGCACATAAAGTAAACACATAAAGTAACACAAGGGAGGTATACTCCTTAAGGCAATCAATTACAGGGAATCAAAACGGCAGCTTCTGCTCAGGAATAAAGCTTAGAAGGCAGGGATAGAAAAGGAAGGTAAATGGAAAAGGTAAGCACAGGGAGGAAGTGGGAAGAGTACTGTTACAATGTGGAATTACAATCCATGTCATGTGCTGTGTGAGTTGTTGAACAGAAAAATGATTTGCTCTGTAAATTTTTAATCAACTCCCAGTAAAAAGTTAAAAAGTAAAATGGAGCTAGACCACATTAAGAATTCATCATCAGAATTGGAGGAAGACTCATTAGCAATATATGAGATGACACAATCTTGCTTGCCCAACATGAAAATGATTGAAACTCTTACTGATGGTCAAAAACCATATCCTTCAGCACAAATTATGCCTGAATATGAATAAAAAATCCTTACAACTGGGCCAATAAACAACATCATGATAAATGGAGAAAGAAGTGAAGCTACCAATAATTTCATTCTGCCTGAATCAACAATGTCTAAGGATGCAACAGTAAAGAAATCAAATAACCATATTGTGTTAAGCAAATCTGCTTCAAAAGATTTTTTTAAAGGTCAAAAAGTAAAGGTATCCCCTTGAGGACTAAGGTGCACCTGGCCCAAGTCAAGGTCTTTTCAGTTGCCTCATATGCATGTGAAAGCCGAACAGTGAAACAAGAAGACAGAAGAGTTGACGTATTCAAATTGTGATGCTGGTAGAGTAATATTAAGAAACAAGAATGATCCTCAATGATCCCACTGTCACCATTGACTAAAGCCTGTATACTCCCCACATTATCCAGCTGATGCATCCTGCTGCCGTCACCATGTGCCCCAAAGTAAGGCTGAAAGGAATGCTAAGGAAAATAAAGTCAAAGTGAAGGGCACATCACAGAAGAAAGCCACAAAGTTATCTGCTAAACTTGCTCCTCTCTAGTCAGGGCGTAAGGCTAATAAAGTTCTTGCAAAGAAGGAAGAGAAAATATATCTGATAATTTTTGTGTTAACTTGATTGGGCCAGGATTCTGTGTTTTGGCAGTTGAGGTGTCGTTAACCCCCATAAAATCTAATATAATGTAATCAACTCTATGATGAGTCTGCTATGAATCAATGAAAAGGACGTCTCTTTGGGAAGTGGCATGCTTCCAATATATTGGACCCTCAGGCAAAGCTTGCTTTTTCTCTGCTGGGTCTGGATCTTGCTTTTGGCCCATACTCCAACCTCAAGTTCTTTGAACTTGAACCTGCAGCCTATTTAATTACCTGCTGATCCTGGGAGTCGTCAGCAGCCTGTCTTCTTCCTACTTTATCTATCTATGTGGCATCTGACCTACTGCTCTTGGGTTACCTGATCCACAAACTTGAGACTCTCCCACCTCTACAACTATGTGAGCTACTTCCTTGATATAAACTTCTTTTTATATATACATATATAAGTTTCACTGGTTTGTCTTCTCTAGTGAACCCAGGCTAGGACATACTCAAAGGGGTTAAAAAAAAGGATGGGACTAACCCTGTAGAAAACGTAGATGCCAAAATAGACAAAGCACAGAGAGATGAAGGTGCTGGAGGTCACACGTGAAGTGCGTGAATGTTTGATAACTGTATGCTTCTCTGGTGACAGCACAGTTTGAAATACTACTTTTTATCAAGTTTCATAAAAACATAAAATTTTATTTTACTTTTATCTTTCAGATGTTATGTAGTTAGTACACAGAACACTTTATTGTTGTTTTTTTGGGGAAGAGATAAATGTCACTAATACAATATCTTCAAAGCTAGGCTGAAATGAAGAAAAAACCATTCCCATCTAGTTCGGAGAGACATCCTCTTGGTTCCCAGGAGAAGGGATTTCTGATCTTGGCACAAATGCCTCAAGATACGGAAAAACTAAAATTCCTTTTTGGTTTCTTCCTGTCCTCTTCTCCCTCTCTGCTTTCAGCATAGACTTGACTCCCATAAACTCAAGAGACCTGTTGGGCCTGACCCCCAAACACTGGTCATCAGTATGTCCAGGCAATCTGGACTTTCCAATCCAGGGATGCCATCTCAAAGGCACTCTTCAAAAGAGCAGCAGTTCGTCATTTTAGACTGTGAATTTTCTGACTGATAATTGTGCCATTTTAATTTCATTTTCCGAAAGTCAGGGTTGGTTTGTGAAAAGCTGTTAAACAACATGCTAAATCTGAAATGTCAACTTTCACTCTAAACTTTCCCTGTGTTAGACCATCAAATGAACACATCACTGGATTTTATAGTGGCTTTCTGATTTGGGTAGTCCACTGAAGAAAGGAGTTGAAAGTTGCTGTATACTCTAAGTGACTGTCTGCCTGTGTACCTGAAATACCATGATTGTTGGTTTACCAAGTGTCTTTAATAAAGCTGGATGCAGTTTGGCTTAGAAAAAAATTGTGATGTTGACAAAGAATACTGAATACATCATTGGCTGCAGGAGAAGAAACCAATTAGTCTTAAAGGAAATACAAACAGAATGTTCCTCAGATTAAAGATAAAGAAACTTTAGCTAGCTTAGTTTGGATACATCTTCAGGAAAGACCAATTACTAGCAAAGGACACAAGGTTTGGTAAAGAAGAAGTGAAAATAAAGGAAACCCTCAATGAAATAGATTGCCACTCTAACCCAAAATGGACTCAAATGTACCAATGATCATGAAGATGACACAGGAGGGGAAAACATTTTGTTCCGGTTTACATAAAGCTAAAGTAATTTCAACTAACAACAACAACAATATAAGCTACAGTGCACAGAGCTTTCATTACATAAAGCAAATTCATTCTTTTCCATTTTGGGGATCATTTATTTCTCTACCTATCCTCAAGAAATCGCCCCTGATTTTAGACATGTTGTTGTTGTTAAGTGCCAACGAGTTATTCATAAATCAATGAAGACATGTATCTTTTTAATTTGCAAAACTCATTTTACAACTCATTTTTTTTCCCCAAGAAAATAACGGCTCTATGAAGCAAAGTAAAACTGATAGCTATGACTCTTTATTGGAAATAATAATCCACTCACCTGAGCATAGGCAAAGGAAGTTTTTGCATGTTTTTGGACATATGTCTGAGAAGAGCTGAAACATAATGCGACCAACTGAAACAAAATACATGAAAAAAAAAGTGTAAGCAAGTCGATGAAAAATATGATTTATAAGAGAAAGAAATAAACACTCCCAAAATAAACAAATCAGGAGGTTCAGTTTTGTAATTTATTTAAAATTTTTAAATTAATTACTGGAAAAGAATTTAATGAAGCAATACCAACCAACAATAATATCACTCCATTTGCTGGTTAGAATTCATATGTGGCTAATGAGGTTCCTAAGATTTTAGTGTTTAAAAATAAACTTATATTATTAGATCCACTTTAATACAATACCCCTAACCACGAGGTCAACAGTTTAAACCCACCAGCTGCTCCTAGAAAACCCTATACAGGGTTGCTATGAGTCAGAATCGACTCGACGGCACTCAACAACAACAACATTATTGGATCTGTGAGCACGGTGGCTCCATAAAATAAGCACTGGACTGCAAACCACAAGGTCTGCAGTTCTAGCCTGTCAGCCACTCTATGGGAAAAAGATGAGTCTTTCTGCTTCCACAAATATTTTTATTAAAAGCCTCAGAAACCCTATACAGGGTAGCTATGAGTCAGAAGCAACTCAAAGGCATTTAACAACACAATGGATCAATGCCTGAGGACTTACAATTATGCAAGCATATCATGCCATAAAACAGTCACTCTAGCCAGTACTGTCTAAAAGGAAGTCTGTCCTGTATTTCCAGCTTTCTAGCTTTACTCAGAACTGTAATGAGCCAATTTCCTTAACTGTACCATTCACGTGTCACTTAAAATTCACATTCTCTTCTCTGAGAAAGCAGAAAGTAAAAAAACAACACACCTGCCAATAAAGAGGAAATGAAAAGGAACAAGCTGTGGCTTTATTTGGGGTCGTTTTCCCACAAACTTGTTGCAAAGCTTCAATGATTTGGGAAGGTGTCCACTTGAGTTTTGTTGAAAAATTGACATTAGCCCTAGCCTTAAAATATTTTTTCTTATGACACAGAAATATCCTTTTTTGTTGAACGCACTCAAATACAACTTGTCTGTAGCATGCACTGATCACCAAACCAAAAAGGCAAACCCACTGCCATTAAGTTGATGCCGACTCATAGGGACCCTGTAAAGAGTTTCCAAAGTGACAAATCTTTACAGAGCAGAAAGTATCATCTCTCTCCTGCAAAACAGCTGTTGGGTTTGAACTGCTGACCTAACAGTTATCAGTTCAGTGTTTGTCCTGTAATGTCACCATGGCTCCTATACACTGAACACCGAGACACGTTTAAATATGTTTTATTTAGAATAAACCCGTGCATACCCAAACTGAAAAAAAAAAAAAAAGAGTTGTATTCTAAAGCAATTTCAAACTCTTCTATCTAATCTTAGCAGCTATAAGAATATAGAAAAAGATAGGAAAAGAAAGCAAAAAAAAAAAAAAGACTTTTAAGTAGGTAACAATATGTATAAGAGTCAATTTACAGTTTTTTTAAAATGCATAAGATATTCGTAGATTAAACAGATGCTTTTGAAGGAAAAAATGAATATGCTCTTAGGAAAACTTTTTATTCAATAAACACCAAAAATGTAGTGAGATTTAGTCATGTTTTAAGGTGCCCTGGTAGCACAGTGGGTTATATGCTGGGCTGCTAACTGCAAGGTCAGCAGTGCAAATCCACCAGACACTCCACAGAAGAAAGAGGAGGCTTTCTGCTCCCGAAAAAATTTAGAGCCTCAGAAACTCTCTTCAGGGTTGCTATGAGTCAAAACCAAGTACACAGTACACAGCAGAAGCAGTAATTTTTTAGAATCAGTCATTACTATCAAAAATATTCTTTTATATAAAAGAATTATTAAGGGAACAAACAAGATGGCAGAGAGGGTAGAAGTGCAGTGAGGAGCTCCGTCAGCAACAACACAGAATACCAGACCAAGCAGGCTCAGGGATGGTCCCAGAACTCTGAACCACATACAAAGAAATATTTAGAAAGTTGGAAGGCTTAAAGCCAGTGGAATTTATAGCAGAAGCAAGAAATCCATTGCTTTCTAATGCAAGGTGCTCAGTTGCTCCCTGAGCGGCCATCTTGGGAAAGACCAAGCAGGGGAAGGATAGGAGCAGCCATAGATGCCTGACAGAACCACAGAGATAAAGGTGTGGACATTCTTTTTTTTCTATCTGTTTAGTGGTCACTTGCTGCCTGCACACCTCCATTCTGGTGATTAGAAGGGGGTGCCTGAGCAAGTGGACACCCCCACCATCACCCGTGAAAGGTTCTATGATGCATACACACAGATCTCCTCGAAATTTAAAGGGACAGTTTCCACTTAACACCAAATGGCAGTGAAAAACAGCTACAGCCAACCCTGAACCGTTTATCACTATGAAAAAGGTCTAAACAGGGATTGCGGAGCAGGACAGGCAGACTAAAAAGGAAATAGGCCAAAAATTAAATCCTGAGTTACATCACAACGACCAAGAGGGGCATCTTGAAATTTCTCAAGAAGAGTGAGAAGGGAATCCCATCTCCTGATCACATCTACCTGGAGGCAATCAGAACACATAAAAAATACCAAAATACATACCCATCTAAGTATTAAGGCCATAGATAACTCCTGAATATGCCCAAAAAAGAGAAACAGATGACCGTATCATCACATGTCCAATACCGAGATAAAGTGACTGAGACAAATGAGTTGGAAATAGACCTTCTGTCTATAATGGAAGGAGGGGAGGCTTTGGAAATCCCTGAGAAGGTATTCAGAAAAATGATTATAAAATGTATCAAAACACTTTACAATGGAGTTGAGAAAAATAAGGAAGAAGTCAGGAAAACGTTACAGGAACTATCAAGATAGATACTGCGTTGGAAACAATTCAAAACCTACAGAAAGAGGTCCAAACGATTAACAATAGAATATCAGAAATGGACAATATACTGAACGGGCAAAGGAGCAGAACTGAAGAAACAGAAGCCAGAACTAATGAGCTGGAAGATAAATCTCTCAATACCACTGAGACAGAAGAACAAGCAGAAAAAAGGATAAAAAAATCTGAGGAAGGTCTAAGATTCATGTTGGACATCATGAAGAGGAATAACTTAAGAATTATCGACATTACAGAACAGGAAGATTCACACAAGTCCACAGAAGACACAGTTGAAGAACTTGTAAAAGAAAATTTCCCTAACATTCTGAAAAGTGAAAACATAAGAATCCAAGAAGCTCAACGAACCCAAGGAAGGATAGACCCTAAAAGAAAATCGCCAAGACATATAATAATCAAGCTCTACAAAATCAAAGATAAGGACAAAATCCTGAAGGCAGCTAGGGAAAAGAGAAGTGAAACATATAAAGGCAAGCAAATCAGATGAAGCTTGGGTTTCTCAAGAGAAACCATGCAGGCAAGAAGGCAATGGGGAGACATATATAAAACCCTGAAAGAAAAAAAAACTGCCAGCCAAGAATCCTCTACCCAGCAAAGATGTCAATCGAATCCAATGGTATAATCCAAACAGTCCAAGATAAATGGAAGCTAAGGGATTTTGCCAAAGCCAGCCCTGCGATGAACATCCTAAAGGAAGCTGTGTGGACAGAGAACCAACAAGAACAGACAACAACCAGAGATTGACGTACGTGGCAGCATCACTTGGCACTCAATCGACAAATGGAAGAGTTGAGAACAGAATAAAACTATAAGAACAAATTCAGAGGTATTTATCTTACACTGAACACTGAACTAGCCGTAAAAATAATGAGATAAAAATAACACCCTCAAAAGCAACAGACATTTTCTATTTAGCCTGAATAGTTCACCAATGTAAACAAAACTACATGTTCTTCAAAAAATTAAACACAGAATTGCCATATGACCTAACAACTCCATTCTCAGGTATATAGGTAGTCCCCACTTATGATTTATTTGAATTGTTATGAATAACATTTATTTAAACATCTTCTCATTAGTAATGTGTACTACATACAATGTTGTAGTGCATGATTTGCTGATGTTACCATTCTTATTCAATCCCCAAAGACAAATACAGATAGTATTTATAAAGATATTGATAATAAAGCTCAAACCAAATGCATGGCCACTGAGTCGATTCGGACTCACAGTGACCCTACACAGGGCTTCCAAGGCTGCAGCAGCTGATGGATTCAAACTGCTGACCTTGGGTTAGCAGCCCAATGCACAACCCATTATGCCGCTAGGGTTCCTTATTGATAATAAAAGGTAATAATAATGAAAAGGAAAAAATAAAAATAAAAGAAGGTATTCTGCTTATGTCAGGACTGACTTGTGACGCCTATGTAAGTACAGTGCCCTACGAGAGTGTAGGGTGAACTACATACCCTCTGGAAATCTGTAAGACTCTCCAGAGGCCAAAGGCAACAAACCTTGGTCTCCATTCTCCTCAAAACTCTAAGCAAATGGTGTACAAATAAGAAAGCAAGAAACTAGACTGGAAAACTAGTTCACACCACCAATGTCAGAATTTCCTCTCAACTTGGGCAGACAAACACCAACAAAAGTAGAAAAATAACAGAAGAGAAAAAGGACTCAAACTAGCAGGGGTTAGATAAAGAACAGTCAGCCTATATTAAAGTCAAAAACAGAGGGGGAAAAAACAATGGAGGAGTTGTTGACAAGGAAGGAAAGACAAAGGAATGTGCATGTTGCTAATGGTGCAAAACCACTTTCAGCAAAGCTTCCGACTACGATGGACTAGGAAGAAAAGTCAGTCAATGAAAAACCGTAAGGATCACAACAGTTCAGGCAGCTGATTTTCCGTAGTACACGGGGTTGCCAGGAGTTGGGGGGCTAACGTGATAACAACAACAATAACAAGGAAGTGAACTTTCTCCTCTGAGTCCCTATAAAAGCCCAAATGAATCTGCCTCAAGATCATCCAGTCAGGGTTGGTATTATTGCTGGGATTTCCTTGACCTGAGAAAAAAAAGAGAAAATTTCCCTTTTGCTTTAGAAACCTGAAACAAGCCTTTTCTTAAAATGTAAATCAAAAAGGCTTTAT